GGCACGTGCCTTCCCCGAGCATCCGTCCCCGAGCATCCCCCCCGGAGCAGGCGGCAGTGGCGGCGTGTGCCGGGAAAACGGGGGACCTTTCCTTCATGGGAAGGGAGATGTGGGGCTGAACCTTGTGCCCGCCGTTTTGGGGACCTCCCCCCGCCCTTGGCTCCCCCCAGCCCTGGGTTTTCCCTCTCCCTTTCTGAAAGCTGTGCTGAGGATGCAGCTTTGCTGCTGATGGCGAGTGCGGGATGACGACAGGCTGCAGCGGAGCGGGGAGGCACAGCCGGGGTGGAGCAGCGCCTTCGTTTGAGGCTGAGACCAAAGCCCTGTTTAATTACCCCAGGCGGGAGGAGCAGGGTGCCAGACTTGATGTGCAGGTCGCAGCCGCGTTTCAGGCCTGGGGCTTTCGGGGACACCTGAGGACGGGTGGGCTTGGCTGGAGCATCGCTGCTCCAGGGGCTCAGCCTGCTCTGGGATGGCTCCTGTGGGAAAGGTGGATCCCTGGGCTGGCACACCGGTGGTCCCTGCATGCTGGGTCCCCCTTGCCAGAGGATGTGGGGGTACAAGCGGGGCTGCAAGTGCAGCCTTTTCCCCACCACAGGGATGCGGGGCAGTCCTGATGGTCCTGCTAGGTGAGGAGCAGCACTAGGTATGCTCCGGGCAACCCCTCTCCTGAGAGCAGGGAGTCCCCAAAGCCCCTGTGGGGCACTGGGCACCACCTTTGCCTTGGCACAGAGGGTGGGAAGCCATCCTGGAGCAGCGGGTGCTGGTGGCCACCGTCCTGAGTCCTGTGGTGGCTTGGGGTGGCCCTTGAGCTGGGTGGAGGGGCTTGGGGAACCCCCCTTGGTTCCAGGGTTGGGGAGGCTCATCCCTGGGGGGTGATGCCCTTGCCTAAACCAGGCGGCTGGGGATGGGAATAGTCTCCAGTGTGGCTTTCCCGGGGGTCCTGGTCCTCCGGCTGTCACTGATGCCGGGGTCCAGTGGCGGGGGCAAAAAAAAAGGGTTTCTTCCTTCGCCCCCTCGCAGGTGCCCTCGGGTCAAGGGAGGAGCCCGAGTTCGTGACCGCTCGCGCTGGCGAGAGCGTGATCCTGGGATGCGACGTGATCCACCCGCTCACGGGGCAGCCCCCTCCCTATGTCGTGGAGTGGTTCAAGTTCGGCGTCCCCATCCCCATCTTCATCAAGTTTGGGTTTTACCCTCCCCATGTCGACCCGGAGTATGCTGGTGAGTCCCAGGGGTACGAGGGGGATGTGTGGGGTCCCGACTGAGGTGCAGCCGGGGATGTACGGCTCCGCTCCATCCACTCCTCCATCGGAAACCGCACGGGCTCTGCCTCTCGTTGCTCGCTTTCCACCCAGTTGGTTTTAATTAAGCAGCAGTGCTAGGAAGCCAGCTGGGCTGCGTGGGACGGGAGCGAGCGAGGCAGAGAAACCCAGGGTGATGCGTGGTGGCGGCGCCCCTGCCGTTGTGCCCCGGAGCAGCTGTGAGCCTGGGGGGGGTGCTGCTGGGATGCTGGGAGGACAGTGGGGATGGAGCCAGGACCACGTGCTGGGTGGAGGTGGCAGGTTGGAGCTGCAGAGCCCGTGTGGCCCGTCGCCAACGTGCCACCTGCCCCACGTGGTGGTGGCCTGTGGTGGGGTCTGTGAGCTGGGGACTAGCTCCGAGGGGGTTTGGTGTGGTGGGGCAGACCCATTTCAGTATCCCATTCCCTGGGGAGCACTGTCCTGGGGATGTTCCCTGGGTCTTACCCTGCTTCCCAGGCTCTGCGGGGCTTCCTCCCCTGGGAAATGCAGTGGGAGGGGGGGGGGGC